CCTCTATTTCAGCTGTTAGAGAAACGTTGAGGCGGAGCTAATGCCCGCTCAGAATTGTCCCAGCAGAAACTCAGCTAAATGCTGCCGTGATTAAACGCCATCATGTTCCAAACTACATCAAGGATTCTTTCTGAAACAGCATGGAGCTCAAACTCTTTCTCTCTCTCAGGTTTACCACAAGGTGACTTCCTTTTTATTTCCTGCTTCTTTACACATGCTCTCCAGTACAGGTTAGCTCTGAGTGTTAGCGATGCTAATGTAAACACAGACCATATTAGGTCCAGAACACGTCTCATTGTTTCTGACAGCAACGTTTCTGATTGGCCCATGGGTGTAAAGCCCGCCCACATTTGAGTAATGTCATCATGACACAGCAAATCTGGATCAGCTCCGTTGTTCCCATGTTTTTAGTGATGTGGGTACGGAGGAGAAGAGAGAGGGTTTTATTTCCTGACACTTTGTGAGTCTCCTGAATCCTGACGGTCCTGACACACCGGGGACACATATTGATGTAGAGAAGACATCACAAAGTGCATTTTGCATGACAGGAGACCTTTACAACTTAAAACCCTCATCGACCCACTCCTAAACCCTGGGGTTCCTCAGGGCTCCATCCTGGGACCGCTTTCTTTCTGTCTGTTTGTAACCGGTGTCGACTAGCGGTGTCTGCGTTGTGTTTTTTGAAGGTTTGAGACCCGAGTCAGCATACCGTTGGAGTTGATCTCCTTTTATTCTGACTGGCAACAGGTAACAAATAATCAGTCGTTAATATGTTTGGTTATACCTCACACTTCGACTCCTCCCCCGTGGAACACATTGACAAAAAGGGAAGAAGTAAACGTGACGGACACAATATGAAGGGGGAAGTCTCCACAAAAATAATCGTCTGGGTACAGCGACTGAATTTCAGATGTTCCGCCCACTGATTTGAGACCTAGTCAGGTATTTAACGTTTAGTAAATAAAGGTCCCATGTCATGGGCATTTCTACTGATCATAATTCCATCGTTGAGGTCTACTAGAATATATTTATATTGTTCAATGTTCCAAACTCACATTGGTTTCTCATACAGCATCTCTGTATAGTATGTGTATTCACTCTGTCCTAAACGGCTTGTTGGAGCTCCTGCCCCCCCCCCCCTGTGAGCCCAGTGGTCGTCTGCGAGACAGCATGTAAATGACATGTCATCAGCATGTGACTGCAACTTGTTCCTGTTCGCGGACGACTCAGCCCTGCTGGTCTCTGGCAGGAACGGGTTGCAGGTTGAAAAAACCCTCAGCTCCGAGCTCGGCAGAATCTGCACCTGGCTCGCCGATAATAAATTATCATTACACCTGGGTAAAACAGAGTCCATTCTCTTCGGTTCGAAACATAATCTCAGCAAATCCGACGACTTCTCAGTTGCAGTGGGCGACATTATTGTCACAAGTAAGAAGGAAATTACATACCTAGGATCTATTCTTGAGGCAAACCTCTCCTGTGACAAAATGGCATCCAATGTAATAAAAAAAGTCAATCAAAGAACTAGATTCCTATACCGGATCTCCTCTCTGGTAAACAAGTTCACCCTGAAAACTCTGGCAGGAGCACTCAATCAAGGGTACTATGACTATGCTTGCACGTCATGGTACCATAGCACCTCCAAGGCGCTACAAATAAAACTTCAAATATCGCAAAATAAACTGGTCAGACTACTGCTTGACCTTTCATCTAGAACCCACCTCACCTCTGCCCACTTTGACAACCTAGGATGGCTTAGAGTAGACGACAGAGTACAGCTACTTGCAATGGGCCTGATCTACAAGATCCACTACACCTCTATGGTACCCATGTACATGTCAAAATGCTTCCCAAAGGTCAAGGAATACCATGATCATAACACCAGAGGGAGCTCCACAAATCATGTGAAACCCAGATTTGGCACAAAAAAGGGGGAATACACGTTTCGCAATTATGCCACATCAAGGTGGAACGCTCTTCCCACAACTGTAAAGGAAAGTAAAACTATACTTACCTTCAAAACCTCTCTTAAAGAGCACCTTCGGGGGAGAGCATTGCAGAACTGGCCCCGGTAATGGTACAAATCTCAACCTGTCGTTCAATGGACAGCTTCCCCCCCCCCATCTATGTATATACTCGCATTTTAGACTCTGTTACTAACTGTATATCTGTAGACTTGGTATGTCTTAAATGTCCGGTTAGGATGTATTAGAACGAAATCTAAAATGAAAATTGTAAATAAGCCATCTGTATGTAAAAAACCACCTGTATGTAAATTGTAAATAAGCCATCTGTATGTCAAATATGTCTTAAATGATATGATGAATTGGAAATGGGGGACCCTGATGTAAACAAGACGAAAGTCTTTCTCTGGTCTGCATCCCCTTAACAATTGTATGTTTTGAGCTGTACTGTACTGTACCCAATATACAAGCTGTTAATAAACTTTTCAATCAATCAATCAATCAATCAGCGAGACAGCGTAGCACACACACACCCGCAGCCTGGCTGGGAGTTTGTGTGTGTGTGCTTAGGCTGAGTTCCGCGGTGTCTTGCCGACCCCACACCAGTGAGCCGGCTCACAGTGTCCCACTCCTCGCAGCAGCGAGCCTCGCAACGTCCCGACGAGTGTGTGTGTGTGAGGAAGTCCGCGGATTGGTCCAAACGTAACGGCTCCGCGGACGTTACGTTACGTCACTATACCCGAAATACGTCACTATACACAAGAAGTAAACAATGGAAAAAGAGAAATGTCCAATGAGGCGTTCTGGGGCAGCATAGACAGGTATTTTCTGTGTTAGAGTTTTACTCGCTACTGGGTGTACTTTGAGGGGTTGTGACTCTGCAGACCGTTTACATGCAGAAAAATCTTCATAACACACAAGGGGACGGGTAATAACCAGAAAAGCATGACCTGGACCTTTAAATCCAGAACACAGAATTTGTTTATTTGACACTAAACACTACTGCATATTTACAATTGTTACATGTACAACAATTCACTGGCCTCTGTTTTTCATGAAACTCAACTAATTCGGTATTTTCTTAGATCTGAAACTACGCTAGCATCTGCGCTAGCTCCCAAAGAAGCTAAGGTAGATGCTGAGTTACAGACCTGCATTAATGGGTCCTAAAACCCTGACATGAGTCGGCATTTAAGCACGCTGTGCCCTGGTCTGGAGGTCAATGGTTTCTGAATGTGTTTTTGGTTGTTATCCTGAAGTAAGGTCTGTGGTTAACACAAGCTGAAGAGATTTAAATGGTGTGTTCTGCCACATAAAATACCTCAGTAAATACTCCACTGTTGGATTTAAAAACAGATGTTGCTAACAAGTGTCTAAATGAGACGACTAAATGTCATCACTCCCAACATTAGCCGCCTTTAGCTTAGCGGTGCTGACGTGAAGTCATGTGACCGTGCTGTAGTTCCTTTATAGCCCAACATTAGCCACCTTTAGCTTAGCGGTGCTGACGTGAAGTCATGTGACCGCGCTGTAGTTCCTTTATAGCCCAACATTAGCCACCTTTAGCTTAGCGGTGGTGACGTGAAGTCATGTGACCGTGCTGTAGTTCCTTTATAGCCCAATATTAGCCCCCTTTAGCTTAGCGGTGGTAACGTGAAGTCATGTGACCGTGCTGTAGTTCCTTTATAGCCCAACATTAGCCACCTTTAGCTCAGCGGTGGTGACGTGAAGTCATGTGACCATGCTGTAGTTCCTTTATAGCCCGACATTAGCCACCTTTAGCTTAGCGGTGGTGACGTGAAGTCATGTGACCATGCTGTAGTTCCTTTATAGCCCAACATTAGCCGCCTTTAGCTTAGCGGTGCTGACGGGAAGTCATGTGACCGCGCTGTAGTTCCTTTATAGCCCAATATTAGCCACCTTTAGCTTAGCGGTGGTGACGTGAAGTCATGTGACCATGCTGTAGTTCCTTTATAGCCCAACATTAGCCGCCTTTAGCTTAGCGGTGCTGACGGGAAGTCATGTGACCGTGCTGTAGTTCCTTTATAGCCCAACATTAGCCACCTTTAGCTTAGCGGTTCTGACGTGAAGTCATGTGACCGCGCTGTAGTTCCTTTATAGCCCAACATTAGCCACCTTTAGCTTAGCGGTGGTGACGTGAAGTCATGTGACCGTGCTGTAGTTCCTTTATAGCCCAACATTAGCCCCCTTTAGCTTAGCGGTGGTGACGTGAAGTCATGTGACCATGCTGTAGTTCCTTTATAGCCCAACATTAGCCACCTTTAGCTTAGCGGTGGTGACGTGAAGTCATGTGACCATGCTGTAGTTCCTTTATAGCCCAACATTAGCCGCCTTTAGCTTAGCGGTGCTGACGGGAAGTCATGTGACCGCGCTGTAGTTCCTTTATAGCCCAACATTAGCCACCTTTAGCTTAGCGGTGGTGACGTGAAGTCATGTGACCGCGCTGTAGTTCCTTTATAGCCCAACATTAGCCACCTTTAGCTTAGCGGTGCTGACGTGAAGTCATGTGACCGTGCTGTAGTTCCTTTATAGCCCAACATTAGCCACCTTTAGCTTAGCGGTGCTGACGTGAAGTCATGTGACCGTGCTGTAGTTCCTTTATAGCCCAACATTAGCCCCCTTTAGCTTAGCGGTGGTGACGTGAAGTCATGTGACCATGCTGTAGTTCCTTTATAGCCCGACATTAGCCACCTTTTGCTTAGCGGTGATGACGTGAAGTCATGTGACCGCGCTGTAGTTCCTTTATAGCCCAACATTAGCCACCTTTAGCTTAGCGGTGGTGACGTGAAGTCATGTGACCATGCTGTAGTTCCTTTATAGCCCAACATTAGCCGCCTTTAGCTTAGCGGTGCTGATGGGAAGTCATGTGACCGCGCTGTAGTTCCTTTATAGCCCAACATTAGCCGCCTTTAGCTTAGCGGTGCTGACGGGAAGTCATGTGACCGCGCTGTAGTTCCTTTATGGCCCAACATTAGTGGAAGTCTTTAAATATTCTACGTAAAAATTACAAAACCATTTGAAATATACAGTTTTTTATTTCATGTTTTTCTGCAGTAAAATAAAACTTTTCAGCATGTAAAAATAATCCAAAACAAACATACGTACATTTTCCTCAAACTGCAGGATACAGTTCATGTGTCGAACACAGATTTTAAAATAATCTACATAAGGTGTGTGTGTGTGTTTGAGACTGGACACACACACACACACAGCTGCTCAGTGTTATTCATGATACACGAACGATACCACTGAAGGATACTGTAGGTTAACCTACTTTACTATAACCACAAACAATCAGTGGTTATATTACACAGAGAGAACTGGAGCTCTGAGGGAGGAGGGTTTTGTGGTGAAATCATTGAGAATATACCGGAGCGATTGAAGTATTTGATCTGACATTTGTAATACTTCTGCTGTGAATAAAATAGAAATGCTTTATCGTAGGGCTGAACAATTAATGGGAATTTTAACGCAATTATCAAATATAGTTTCCCCACAGCAGACGCACATTAATAACATCCGCTGGCGCGCCATGAATACGTCAATAGTGTAAGTGCAGTCGGATTCTCTTGAAGCTTATTGTAATCCCTGTACATTTTGCTGTATGATGTCCTTTTGTTGTTCTGTTGTTTATGTTTTTATGTCTTCTTGTGGAACCTACTGCTGCAGGTCTCCCTTGAAAAAGAGATCATTGATCTCAATGGGATTTTACCTGGATAAATAAAGGTTTTGAATTGAATTGAATTGAAGCCCGGTCGCCTTCCCCTAAGTCCTTTTGAATTCTCCTAAACACAATTCCTTGACCCCGTGACGTTCACACAGAGGTCAAGGAATAGTGGTTAGGAGAAGACGATAGGAGCTGATTTTTGGACAATTCGACCGCAACCATAGTCTAGTCAAACCTTGTCGGTTAGTCGTTGTTCCCATGATTGTTCCAGTCCATCTTTGCTATGACCCTTCCCCCATGTTCCCCGGTTTGTACCGGTTTAGTTGTTCTTTGTTATCAGCTTGTTTGTCGATCAAAGTAAATTATTTATCTTGTTTTGACTGCTCTTGGGTCCGCCTTCCTGTCGAATCGTGACAACACCAGGTAAAATAATCGCATTTATAATATTTTCCCCCAAATGTTTCAGCCCTACTTTGATATTTAAGGTGCAATTTAAAGTCAGAAGACTGTTAGAAAAGACATGTAAGCAATTTTTCAAAATGCTTAAATTGTGCTCGTTACAGTTATTAATTTCATTAAATGTGTAACTTTGCAACTTTGGCAGTGCAATCCATCAAAAATGCCTCCAGCTTGTTGCATGTCAGCTTCAGGTCCATAATCTGCTTTTATAAAATCAGTCTGTTGTCTTATACAATCTCCAGATTTTCCGTCACAGATTTCCTCCTCAGAACGGGAGCGTATCCATGAAGATTTTGTCCACGATGGGCGGCGGGGGCACGAGGTCCTCCAGCTTCAGGTAGAAGATGCGCTGATGTCCCTGAGTGCAGAGAGTCCGGAGCTCAGGAAGCTTCCCCAGCAGCCGGGAGAGGTAATGAGGCCGGAGGGAGTCTGACCCGCAGGCGGAGAGGTGGTCCTTCAGGGAGGTGATCAGCTGGTTCTGAAGATCCTCCACTCGCTTCGGCTCTTTGAGACCGTGTCTGTCTGCAGAGGAGACAAGGAGACACGTTAAGAGAGCTTATAGTTTTATGTTGCTACAGAGCTAAAAGTTGGCTAATATTGGGCTATAAACAGAGAGGGCAAAAGTACACACATCCTTTACTCAGGTGGAAGTACAGATACTCATGTTTAAAAATACTCTGGTAAAAGTAGAAGTCCTGACTAAACTTCTTAACTCAAGTAAAAGTAAAGAGGGCTTTGAAATGCACTTCAGTAAAAAATACCCATAACTAGCAGCTGTTTTAAAGTAGAAGTAGAAAGTACAGGTATTTGGGTTCAACATGTAAGAAGTAGAAAGTACAGGTATTTGAGTTCAACATGTAAGAAGTAGAAAGTACAGGTATTTGTGTTCAAAATGTAAGAAGTAGAAAGTACAGGTATTTGGGTTCAACATGTAAGAAGTAGAAAGTACAGGTATTTGGGTTCAACATGTAAGAAGTAGAAAGTACAGGTATTTGTGTTCAACATGTGAGAAGTAGAAAGTACAGGTATTTGTGTTCAACATGTAAGAAGTAGAAAGTACAGGTATTTGTGTTCAACATGTAAGAAGTAGAAAGTACAGGTATTTGTGTTCAACATGTAAGAAGTAGAAAGTACAGGTATTTGGGTTCAACATGTAAAAAGTAGAAAGTACAGGTATTTGGGTTCAACATGTAAGAAGTAGAAAGTACAGGTATTTGGGTTCAATATGTAAGAAGTAGAAAGTACAGGTATTTGTGTTCAACATGTAAGAAGTCAAAGTAAAAAGTCCTCAGCAAAATAAGTAGTGGATACCAGAAACATGTACTTAAGTACAGTAACCAAGTATTTGTACTCCACTACTTCCCACCCCTGCAGCACGGTCACATGAATTCACGTCACCACCGCTAAGCTAAAGGCGGCTAATGTTTGTACTTACTGTTAGCATTACATAATGCCTCATAAGCTAATTTAAACATATACCAGAAAACTTGCAATATAAAAAATGATAGTTAATGTCAGTCATGAAGTGGGTGATATCTGTTAGTTATATATATATATATATATATATATATATACACTGTTCACCTGCAGTTCCTCGCTTTTAATAGATTTGTAAAGCTGAATGCTCTGTGCTGACAGACGTGTTGAAGCCTCTGCGGTGCAACAACTCCCAGCTGTAAATGTATACGGCATTGTGTTGGTGTTCGGCATGCTGTGATAATATATATAACTTGTGCACCATACATGAGGTCGTGTCTCACACCTGTCCTGTCAGTCCTGTGTTGTGTAACTCTCTTATTGTCCTCGAGCAAACCCTGTCCTCGCCGAGTAAAAATAAGTCTGATTTAACTCCGATGCAAAGTTTGATATGTCCACTAATGAAGGTTCTTTTTGCATTTGGAGCCTTAGGGTTAAATAATGTCTTAATTATAAATCAGAATCAGAAACAGGTTTATTACCAAGTGGGTTTAGACGTACGAGGAATTTGACTTGATGTCGTGGTGCATACATCAAAAATAACATATAGTAAAATATAGCAGTATTTACATAGAAATAGAATAGAATAAAATACGGCAGTAATAAAAAAAGACAACAGATATTGTGTGCATTAATGTAATGCATAGAGTCTATGATGTGGCTGAGGTGAAGTGATTGGTTTATGCCTTTTTTCGAAGGGCCCAAGTTAAGAAAAAATCGACTTTATTCCTTAAAATCTAAAACAAATGACACCCTATTTTGCAAATGTTAATTTGATAGTGGCTTCGCGTGAATACTGTTGACAGAGGCAGGGTGAGGTGGTGTGACAGTGACTGGGAGAGGGATGAATTTGTCTTGATTTGATTCATAAACTAAATAGTTAGAAACAGCTCTTACCAGCGATGATGACGAGCGCAGCGAGGCAGGAGAAGGAGGAAACGTCGAGCTTCATGCGATGAAGGCTCTGAGAGAACTCTAAAATGGAGTCGATCCAGTCCCCGAAGCCCCGGACGCACTGAGCTCTGTGAAGCACCGCTCCGCTGCAGAACACCAGCTTCTGCAGGTCAGGGTCCGAGCTTTAGGAAATAGATCAAATGTTCTGTTATCCAGGGCTGAAGGGAATCACGTGTCAGCAGAGAGAGGGAATAACTAGGCGGTTCATTTACGAGGAACAAAATCACATATAGGGAGAAACACGTCTAAAGGGAAACTGTTACCAAAATGAAATGGTACTTTTATCTGAAAGAAATATGAATTTAATCTGAGTTTATTTTTGGAATGTAGGATTTTGTCATCTAAGGAAAATATTGAGGGTTTTCTCCTTTAATATTATTTTCTCTATTGCAATTTTAGGACTTTATAAACTCATAAAATATCTTCTTTAACTTTTATCTTGAAAAGTTCAAATACTTCTAACTTTATTTCGGGGTGATTTCGGACTGGAGAGTATTTGATTTGATTTGCTGGGAATATAATAATAATGCTTTATCGTAGGGCTGAACAATTCATTAGAATTTTAACGCAATTATCAAATATACAAATCGCAGAAAGTGCAAATATTCAAAGTCAAATCTTTTATTTTTCAAGTATCTTTGTGGTTAATTTATGAGTTCTTTATCGCTAATATTCACATTTACCCAGGGCATCAGGAGAGAGGGAATGACTAGCCAAGCACTTTAGATTTGAGTAGTACATTTACAAGGATCACAAATATACAAAAGGAAAATCGTGTAAAGGAAAACTGTTGCTAAAATCAAAAGGTACTTTTACTCGAAAAAGAAATATGAATTTAATCTGAGTTTATTTTTAGATGTTTCTGGTGAAACATTCTGTAAGAACAAATATTCTTCTGTTTTTGTAAAAGTACTAACTTGGAACTTCATTTTTGGTGTTTTCAAGTTTCTTTCTGGTTAATTCCTTTATTGATCATATCTATCCAGAGCATCAGGAATATGACATGCGAGCTGTATGATGAACATGCTCTCACCGATAGGCCAGCCTCAGGATGAAGAGTTCGACAAAGGCCGACTCGAGCAGCAGCTCCCGGTCCTCGAGGCAGAACTCTGAGAAACCCGGGATGTTCTGAGCCCAAATCCTCACCACCTCCGTGCAGGAAGTGAGCAGATCGTAGAACTGCTGCACGTCAGAGGAGTCCACCTTCTGGGTCGGACTCACCGCCGTCTCCTCGTACTGAAACAGGAAGGAAGCAGGGAAATTAAAGACATCATCTAACAGGTCATCTAACATCGATGGCGCATCAGGGCACTTTAGGACGAAGACATTTTAATATTCTCTCAGATTATAAAGTCATACATTTGCAAAAAGACCCTCAAATTCTCTGAGATTAAAGTGAAGAATGAGCCAGACTTTCCAACTCAATTACAACATTTGTGAGAAGAAAATATTGGGAGTTTACATCAGATTAATGAATTGAACTTTTTGGAGAAATTATTTGAGAAAAAATAAGAAAAAAATCACTCAAATTAGGATAAAAAGAAAATCTGAATTTGAGATGTTGGAGAAAAAGAAAATCATGAATTTCAAATATGAAAAGGGCATTCTGTCGGATTCAAAAACTCGAACACTCATTCATAATAATGGATTTCATTTATAGAGTGCCTTGACCCTTTCCCGAACTCTCTAAAGAAGTATCTCTGTTTACCTTCAATGGCCGTAATACGTAGCCAAATATCTCACACGATCTCATTTTTCAGGTTTGTTGTTGTTGTTGTTTACCTTGGAGTAATCCAGCTTCCCCACCCCGGGGTTGGAGTCGATGTGCGCTCGGACCAGAGCAGCGATCAGACTGACCGGAGACACGGAGGACGCCGCCGTCGCCTCGGCAACGACCTTCGGCTTCGACGGCAGACGACCTCTGCGACCTTTCAGACCGTCAGTCCTCACAACTGGAGGAAAGGGAGACGAATCAGCTGTTAATGTTTACACTGTGTGTGTGTGTGCTTGTATGTATGTGTGTGTGTGTGTCTCTGTCTGTCTGTCTGTCTATCTGTGTGTGTATCTCGCTGTCCGTGTGTGCATGCCAGTGTGTGTTATGCTTGCAGTATGTATGTATGTAT